ATCAGCCCTAGTAGAGCTCCCAGCCAGTGGCCAACACCAATCGTCAGCCATGTGAGTGAGGCTGTTTTCGAACCACCACTGCCCTCAGCACCTAGGTGAAAGGCAGAGGAATCACTCGTTAACCCACAGAATACTTAACTGTTGTTTTAAACCGCCAAGGTGGCTTGGTGTAGCACGAAACCAAAACAGATAAAGATCAAAATATTGATATTAAATGAGCTATCTCTAAGAAAGCACATAAAATAATAAAACAAAAACAACACCAGTGAGAACAAGAATCTCAGGGGGTTAGAAAGTAGCCCCAAAAGGAGACAGAGAAGAAATGTTCAAAGAGACAGGAGGAGAGCAAGAAGTGATAAAACAGAAAACAACGGACAGCTGCTTCAAGATGGAAGAAAAGTTCAACTGTGTTAAGTGAAGCAGAGGGTTCTAGAAAGAAAAGGAAAGATGTGGAAATCTGCCATCAGCTTCGGTCATGTGAAGTCACTGATGGCTTTAGCCAAAGTGGTGGAAACAGGAGCTGAATTACAGGGGGTTAGCGAGCTCTCTAGCCAGGAAATTTCACTTAGTCACAGACAGTAAAACCGAGAGGAAACAACAGGTACAGACACCTCATATTACCAAGTGTCTCAAAAGAAAATGGGATATTTGGTAAATGGGGTCACGGGGTCGAGAGAAGTGTTACATTAACCCATTTATGCTTTTCAATCAAGCTCTAAGTCACCACAGCTTTTACAAGTGGCTATCTTCAGACTGATGTGTGACTTCTGCTATTCTCTGGTCTACACGGTTCTGTTGAAAGCCTGGCTGAACTGATCTTCAGTGAGAGCAGCATCAGGTGGTGTAAGGGGCCCTACGCTGGCCGTTGGGACACTCAGTTTGCCGCTGGCCAGCTACAAGTCAGTACTTCCAGACCCCAGATCCTCCTCCGTCCTGTAGTGGGAGAGTTCAGAGAGCCTTGAAGGGTCTTCCAGCATTGACAGTCTATACAAGTGATTGCTTTCTCGAAAGTTTTCACATGTGATTAAAATGCTTCGTTCTTGTTGTTCCCTGGAACTCTGCAGTCTGAATATGGGTGACATCACCTAACTTAAGCAAAAAAGCAGCAGCCCATGCCTTCACCTGAAGCACACACACTGCTCTTCTGTCCAGCCCATACCCTACGAGGTGGAGCTTGGCTATAAGGTACCCAACAAAAGGTCACATCCCTCCTGAGTCCTCAGGGGCCAGGCTCACCCAGAGCAGGTTTTTTGGCCCCAAGGTTGATGAGTTAAAATCTTTCCCTTGGCCACCTGGAGCAGAGAGGTCAGTGGGCATGCCCAGGAGCAAACCAGGAGGATAAGTGGCTTTTGTACAGTCAGGAAATGTATTTAATTGGTACTACCATGCTTTCTGTTTTTAGAGGAAGAAAGTAAGCTAGAGAGAGAAATAGTATTATATCTTTCACAACTGCCACCCCAAATCCTAATGCTTTAATATTGATATTATTAGCGTGACAGGAGGAAAAATGTGTTTGTGGCAGGGAAAATAATTCCTTATTCCCCACCGGGTTCTAAAGAGGAGGTCCCTGTGAGCGTTCATGTGAAGTGGGATGAGTGTGAGGGTACAAACTGGGAACACAACACACAACAACACAAGCCAGTCTGTGGTGCTGAAGGGAAAGGAAGGAGGCAGAGACAAAGTGGGGGAGGGAGGAAAAGAGAATTCTGGGGAGACCAGAAATGCCGTGCCCGTCAAGCTGCAGGGTCTATTTGACAGAGATGGTGGGGCAACCAAGCAGCTATTAGCTGAAAAGAAACATTGCAGGCAGAACTGAGATGCACCCTGGGGATTTCTACTGTACTCTTTGCTGTGTGATAGAACATCTGCACCACTTCTCTCCTGTGCCTGCACCAGCCTTTCCCTTAGAGTGGTGGTTAAGAACACAGACACTGGAGCCAGACCCCTGTGAGCACACCAGCAAGAAATGTAGCAGGTTTGCATTTATTCCGAAGTGTCTGAGTCCAGTCTCAAGTACAATTCTATTTGCACTAAGATTCTTGTGTCTCATCCTTTGTTCAGTGCACAAATCTTCCTGAACTCCTCAGCAAACTTTTCCCAAAATGATGTCCTGCATCCACCCCTAGCTGCAGCCTCCTCGTTTGCATGTGGCTCTTCTCAGGACAGTGTCATTCACAGGAGGAGGCGGCCCCAGGAATACTCCTTGCTGAACTCCAACTGTGTTCTTGGCTCATCTTTTACTTGAACATAAAAGAATGTAAATACTCAACAGCCTCCCCTTTCTTCTGGCTTCTACTTTCCCACAATCCCTTGCTGCTTGGTGTGGTTCCCCTGAATTCACTAACTTAACATATTCTACATCTGCAATCTGAACTTCATGCTTCTTCCGTCTCCAGTGAAACATTTCTCTTCTGATTAACAGTTCCCCGACCTCTGTCTGTTGACATCCCCTGGAATGGGTCTCTGCAGAAACATAGATTTCCAACGTAGGTTATAAGGTAAATATCACAAAGTCCAATAAAAGCCACCAAAAGCAATAAAGTAATATCAGGTTAAGCCAGATGATAACCGAAGAATTTTCTTATTTATGACCTGAATATCACTTCACTACATTCCCAGAACCACTTCATCAAAAGTGTTGGACTTTCCTAGATCCTAGATAATTAGAATTTAATTGTACACTGCAAAACTTTTTTGTCTGTGATCTAAGGCAGCTCTCCACTCAGAGGCTCTGAAAACTGGTAACTGTCACCCAGATAAAATTCCATTCTCCTGCTCCATACCCCACCTACACCATCATTTCCCGACAGTCAGACTGCAGAACTGTCAACTTCTTGGTATTCATGTTCCATATTTTTAAAACTGGTATTTCCATGATTTCAAGAAGTTTGAAATCCCCTACATAAAACTGCATTCTTAAAAAAAACCACCACCACCTATGGGCATCCAGAAAGATTGGCATGATGGGGTGGGTTTGAATCCCAATACCACACCTCCTACCTTCACCAAGTGACTTGTCCTCTGTGTATAATGTGGCTAAAGATTCTTAGCTTTGAGAACTTTGTGGGTCTATATGAGATTATCACCATTCATTTAACAACTGTGTTGAACACCTTCCAAACAAAAGGCAGAGGGCTATAAGCACTTCAGGATACAAATATAAGTTAGAAAAAGATAATGCCCTTAAAAAGCCCAGGATATAGAATGGGAGATTAAAATCAGTAACTATGATTCAAGTGGAAAATGATTTTAAAAAAACAAAACAAAACAAAACAAAACAAAAAAATCCACCTTCAACCACATCCCAGAGCAAATGTCACTTCCTCCAAGAAGCTTTCTTGAGTATTCCATCTAACGGGGCCCTCATTCACTCTTCAGCACTGTACCTGGTGTCACTTTCTTATGGCATTTTTGTTATCTGACATTATTAGTTATTTATTAGAGTTTGTTCAGTCTTTTCCTTGAGCACGTGAGCACCATGAAAACAGAGGCCTCCTCTGTCCTGTTCACGGCTGGAAAACAATACCCCACACTGTGGAAAAGCACATGAGAGATTCGAAATTAGAAACTGAAAGAAAGCAGAAGTGAGAGATTGTTTCTACGTCTAAAAGTACTTGGTAAAACACTAACAAGTTTCCTAATAGATAAATTCTGGTCTGTGAAGTCTATGTCATTTCTGGTGAAGTCTAAGGGGGATGTTCTCCCCCAGGACTAAGCCTGGGGGCTGAGCTTGGTGAGGAGACATCATTGAATAAGGCTGGAGGAGAGAGAGGAGTCTGTTTTCTAACCAGTCCTTGGAAGAAACAATCCCTGATCCTCAAGCTATGTATGGAATGACTGATGTATGGCATCTTCCTGGAGAACAAAGAGAGAAAATCAATTCTGTCAGATGAGGCTGTCCCTTCACATTGCTCCTAGTGAGTTGTTTAACACATTGGTTTTCACATGTGTCAATGCCACATGTGAACAAATATATAAAGCTGTATCAGAGAGCCTTTATCTTTTACAGTACACTGTAAACTTACATCAGAGAGCCTTTAGCCTTTACAGCATACCACAGACCAGTACATAAAGTCACAATAGGATAACTACTGTTCAAAATAGGAAAAAGAGAAACAGTATATTGCAAATGCTTTAAGGTAATTTTTATATGATTAGACAGAGTTTAAATGACCCAGAAAATATCTATGCCTTATCTGAAAAGACTATAAATAAATGCCTAATAAAAAGAAAATGACCTTATAATTCCCATCAATTCTTCTCTTACTTACAGACAGTGTAAGATCAGTAATAAAATGCAAGTTTTTACCACTTTATTCCAGTTAAATTGCATTTACCAATAACTGCCTCCTTCTTCATTAGAATAATGTTTCATTTAATAACTACTGCAAGAGTCGAATCACCTCACCCAGGGCTCCTCCATTTCCATGCTGCTAGATGCTCACCACACCAGACTCAACTATGTGTGTTTGCGACCTCAGCAGAACTGCTCTCCGCTGAAGGACAATGAAAGAATGCTCTTCCCTTCACTCCTCCCAGGGGCAATGCATACATACATACATACATACATACATACATACATACATACATACATAAATTGTCATCCTACATGTTTCAGCATAGAACATGATTTGGGGGGTAGTTTATCAATGAATTTGGTCTTGATACTTCATATAGACTAAGGACTCAACAAATAGTCCTTAGTTGTTGAAATCCTCTGGAGTGAAATGCACTGATGGCATTAAGAGCCTCTCCAGAAAGAGCACTTGCATTTATAAAATTCCTAGTGTATATTAAATACTCTACATGCACTGTCTTATTTAATCAGCTGGTGGAAATATCTAACAACTGTGTATTATTTACTACCATGTGTCATGCACTATTCCCTAGGGGTTTGGTGGTGTGAAGAAGCAAGACCCTGCACTCAAAAGTCATATACCTAATTTTCATAACAGCCTTTTGAAATGGTAACTACTATTCCCATTTTATATACAATGCAGGTTCCAACTTGGATTTAAACTATGTTCAACTTGCTGTTCCCAGTGGAGTGAGCCATCAGATGTCTGTTTGCATGGAGGAATGAAGTTTATGAGCAAGAACTTTCACTAAGGGAATATGGGCATAATGGCCTTGACCCAGTTACAAATACCCTATTGAAAGGGTCAGTAAAATGTGGTATCTACCACTGATATCCTTGAACCCACTCATAAGGATTCATGTCTGGGAACTAAGAAGATGAAAGCATATAAAAACACCACAAACAGCACACAATGACCCACTGCCAACTCCTAAAGGGCAGGTTAGCACTCAAGTCAGTCTTGGAATTTAATGGACTTCTCACTGAAAGTTTACCCTTTTATTTGTCACAATGTTACTGTCTTAGAGTCACCGAAGCCCTTTTCACACATATCCTCATGACATCAGTGTGGAAGCCAGAGAGAGAGGGAACAAATTCTCTTTGACTTTTGTTTCTCATTGTTCATCCCTAAAGTTGAGAGACATTTTCTGAATCATGCTTCAGAAGTTCAAGGGCATCAAGTCAGGCACATTTTGGACTGCAAACATTAAAAAAGGCCTTTTATTTCTAATGTCCAGAGCTTTGCCAGGAAACTGCCCCCATGTACCAACTGTATTGCTCCTGTGTTTAACTCCTTGGTAAAATTAGGACTTGTAACTGTGTTAAAATGATTTTTAGGAAACAAGGGACAAGCTGGAAAGAGTGATCATTTTGGTGTTGTTAGGTTTTGGTGTCTTTAAAAAACTTCTACAATGGCGTCCATTGTCCCTAATTATAACACACATTACGCCCTGCCTCTTCCAGCATATATGGAAAGATCGATTTAATTTTACTGCTTCTTAATTCATACAACTCTTTTATCTTCCGAAAGTATAGTTAAAATGCAGGATGTAGCTGAGGGTAGTTTCTGGTTTTTTATTTTAGAGCAGAAATAAGGCACTGTACAGAGCTCAGGTTAATTCATTGAAACAAATCATTGCTCCAATTCATGGTTGCTCCTAAAATACTTGGTTGTAGTTTTCATATACGTATTCAGAGTGGGCCCAGTGTACGAGATCAATGTTCTATGGAAACAAAAAACAAAGAAAACCCAGAAGGTGACAGCAAAATGTAAAACACACTGGCAGCTCTCCTTGCCTGTTCTAGAACACGGTTTCACAGCACTGACACCACCGACATTTGGGGTGATGGTTCTTGGCCTGCCCTGCGCCTGTTGGCTGTTTAGGGACATTCTCTGCTCAGTAAACACCAGTAATGCCACCACCCTAAAGGGCACCTAAGTTACTCCTGGGAGACAACCACTTTTGAGAAATAAACAAGCCCTATGCACTCTCTTTCTCCTGCTGGAAGTAGACATGTGGGGCAAATGTACACCTTAGAATCATGGTATCACAGTTAATCAGTATTGTATTTTTCTTTCTTAGTGATGCATAAAATAGTAGTCTATCTTCTGATTGCTAACATCTTACATTCAATGAATACAGTATTTATTTTTAGAAATCACTGAAAGCAGTATTTGAGATAAAAAGCTATCACGCTAATGTTGATTTAAATAGTTAATAATAAAGTATGCTACTAGAAAAAAAACACCACAAACAAGTATAGAATCATTTCTCTAAAAACTGTGCTTGCCTGTGGGCCATAGCAATATGCTTTAGTGCCACGTCTTCTCAGCCTAGACTAGAGGGTCCTCTTCCTAGCATCTATTGTCTAGCATCTAGCATCTTTCCTACCATAATCCCAACTTTGTCCAGTTGTCTATTCTTTCATCTTGAAGAGGAAGCTTACACTGGAGAAACTGGCCCTAGTCCCAGTCTGCTGGTGGGCTTGACTGGCATTCCCTTCCCTCTGCCATCGATTCAGAAGTGTGTGGTTGAGGCGGCTCAGCCTTGTTAGGGGCTTGTGAGAAAATTCTCTCACGCTGCTTTAGGAGAAAGCACAGAAGCAAACCCCTCTCCCTGCACATTTTCGTGGTGGGGCATGTTCTGGAGCTGCTTCAATTGTTTTGTTACCAAATTTGAATGAAGCAAAACACTGAGTATCACAAAGACAAGGGAATCACAAGAAAATATTGTTGAAACCCCTGGAGTTTTTCAACTTGAAAAGTGCTTTAGCAGAAACTATCCCTCCTGAACTTATTCTCCCCATTTTCCAGGTGTTAGAGCCCCTAATAAAGATAGGCATGTGGCCATCCAGAATAAAAATATCCTTTCTTTGCAGTTTGTTGTGTCCATATGACTGAACTCTAGTTAATGGAATACAAGCAGAAATGTCATGTGGTAGCTTCTAGGAACCTTCCTGATAGGACAGGAGGTCCACAGAAATCTTCATCCTTTTCTCCTTCTTGCTTCTGAGAGGATAAATACAGTGACTGAAGCTCCAGCCACCATCTTAGTCTATGCTGACAGCATTGACCCCTTTAGGAAAGAACAGTATAGTGAGTTGAAGGCACCTGGAAGAAGAAGAAAGTTTCTCCAAATCTTGTTGAGCAAAATTGCGGTAGAAGTCCTGGCCCCATCTCTGGCTTTGTATGCATGTGAAACAAATCTCATTTAAGCCACTGTTTGACTGGGTCTCTGTTTCTCAAAGCTTAAACTGATCCCTACTGGTCCATATGCCTTCTTACCTTTGAACTTCTATTTTGTCTAACAGACAATAAATTCCACTTGTTTGAATCAGATTAACTTGAGATTTCTATTAACCTGCCATCAAAAACATCCTAAGCAATACATGGAGTGAGGCAGCCTCATCCCCACTTGGCTACGAACCATATTATAGTTTTGACACCTCAAGGATAAATGTGGCATTAAAGGGGGGGGTGCCCATCAGGAGACACTGCTGCCAAATAGTAGCAGAAGATATCATGCCCATTACAAGGGAGAAAAAGAGAGGTGTACTCCACGTGGTAGTCAACATGATAGCCAAGAGGATTTGTCTGGAAGTTTATGGGAGACACCCTGAGACTCTCAGAAATATTTAATGAGTATTCCATTGACATAAGAATTAGTGAAATATGGCTTTATTACCCTGAAATTGAGCTCTTATTAACCAACAGCTTGGTGAGAATGGAAAAGGTTGAGTTTCATATGAACAGGAAAATAAACTCAAGAAAGTTAAATTACTTGTCCAAAAAATCATGTAACCACAACTTGAATGACACAAAATCCTTATGAAGGGATATTTTAATGTCATGTGTTTTCCCCTAATATCAGTCCTTGCCTTCCTCTAAAAAAATGCATCCTTGTTTTCTGCCAAGGACTTTCAAACATTGGATGAGAAACTAAACCATATTTACAGTAACACCCACTGACCTAAGATAACTGAAGATAGCCTATCAGGAATGTTGGTACCCAGATGTTCCCTTCCAAAGATAAGTCCTCTGATCCTATGATCCAATGCCTGATACTCATAAATTTTGAACTATATTTTTGAGACCCAATCCACATAATCCTTAATAATGCACATATTCCTCTATAGCCTTAAATTAGAATAAGTAAGATTTAATTTGATGTTAGAATAAGTCAAATAATTTTCACTGTTGGATTGTTCAGTTGTTAAAAATCATCTCTCCAGTTCCAACCAGCTGACCTCAGCTTTGTAACATGTATAAATTAATATCCTGACAGAGAGAAAAGACAGACATTTTTCCAAGAATTGGCCAGAAAATGTGTGATTTTTTTTTCCTTCAGACTATTAGTTTACCAATTGCAAGGAATGAATCTCAAGAGATGCAGAAGCTCAATTTGAGTAAACAAGCAAAAGTCTGGATGCTTATCAAAACTCTGGCAAAACTAGGCCAGAGATGGACCTGATTTTCTAGTGAGGTTTCCAGTATTTCCTGTTTCCAGTAGGACTGGGCTATCTTGGGAAGAGTCAACTAATGACTGGAACCAGCTGGACATAACTGGAGAACACTCAAAGACTGAAAAAACAAGAGAAAAGATAATGCGTGCTGCTTTGAGCTGCCAGAGAGATGGAGTTAATTACAACATGGTGCTGAAAATAACTATCAACTACTTGACTTTTTGCTTCTTTAATTTCCCCAGGAAAAAAAATCTGAAGGTTTTATCCTTTCTGCTTTCCCAGAAAATAAATGTACCTTTTTTCTTTCTATCATAGAGGTGGACGTCACACCCTCTATAATATGGACTGCCAACAAACATATGCAATGGCTTAGAGCCATGGAGGGAAGGAGGCTGTTTACCTAACTTTAGCCATTACTAAATTACTGGGAATCAACAAGTTGGAAGAGGCTACAATGCAATCTATGATAAATAGTCTAATAACATGTCAAACTTCCCTGAGCCACATTGGACTATCCTTAGTCATTCCAAAGAGGTGGACAATAAATCTACTTGGAGGAAGAGATTCCGAAGAGCCACTGAAGAGGGAGGTTGGCCCTCTGTGGTAAGCACAATTGATCAAACACAACATCCTCTCCAATCTCCTCCAGGTGTGCCTGTCTGTACAGAAGAGGTAGGAAAGCTAAGTGGTATTTTCCAAGATTTCCTTGCTAGAGTTCTGGATATCACTTGGATTCTGCTAATTGGAACCACTAGTGCAAGATTTGACCTATATAGTGAGGTAGATGCTACACTTCTGCTTCTGCTTTTCCTGCAGGAAAGAGCACCACCAGGGCAGAATTAGTATGGTCCCAGTACCAGTCATTAGCTTTGCGTGAGTCTGGTGGCAGGGTGCAAGCCATCCATTTTTGCAGGCGTAGATTCTAGGGCTGGCAAATATCAGGGGCTCACTGATTATGGCACATTGGTCTCTTGACTATGTGCCCTAATTGTACTGATTTCCTGACTGTGGCAGTGAAGGGTGGTTCTGGAGCCAGTGGCTATAGCAGTAGCTTCCAGTTTGGTGAGCAGCATCCTGATTATGGAAGATTCAGTGGCTAATTTGGTGTTCCTGTTTTGTAGTATGGCTTTTGAGAGCTGTCCCCATACACCCAGCCTTCTCAATGATTCTGTAAGCCATTGAATACTCCTCAATAAATCCCTTTCTATATAAACTGAATAAAGTGTGTTTTCTGCAGCCGAACCCTAACCACTGTGCCTCCTCCAGAAGGTGCATCTGGGGAAATCCCATCTTCTTCCGTTTTTGCACATGGACCTGGGATAAAGCAAACGAGAGTGAGGGTGAAGAAAAGGGAAGGGGAATTTCCAAGAGCTGATTGACCTAGGGAGATTTTTACCCAGGAGACCATTTCTGAATTGATGAGTTGTGAAGAAGAGAAAATCAGGAGCCAGGAAATGGAGCCAAGGTCACAGCAGAAAAGAAATTAAATTCTGTATTAACTGGGAGTTGCTGAGATGAAGACAGAGACTAAGGATGAGTTGAAAGGTCTGCAGCAAAGGGAGTTGAGTTCAAATTCTTCAGGATGCTGTGGTCAATTGGTCCTTAGAAATTAGTTAGAAACTGGCTCAAACACCCCTCCTACACACCGTAGTGAATCCAGTCTTCCTCTTAACTCACCGAAGTGCCTTGGGAAGGAGAAGTGACTCACTTCTTTTAAACCTCTCAGGTCCCTAACTTTCCCTGCTTCTCCATCTCTGCTTCATGCTCCACTGTCCAGAGGAGCCACACCAGCTCCCAGA